GTTAACCCCCCTGCCCACACTATTCAATGCCATTACAGTGAGTTAACCCCTCTGCCCACACTATTCAATGCCATTACAGTGAGTTAACACCTCTGCCCACACTATTAAATGCCATTACAGTGAGTTAACCCCCCTGTCCACACTATTCAATGCCATTACAGTGAGTTAACCCCTCTGCCCACACTATTAAATGCCATTACAGTGAGTTAACCCCCTGCCCACACTATTCAATACCATTACAGTGAGTTAACCCCTCTGCCCACACTATTCAATTCTATTTGACAAAAATCTGTGACATGCCTAAATGTGAATTTCTGATGTTTCAAATTTTTATGTATTTTAATGTGACTTTTTTCTCCATTTTTCATGTCTTGTGCTTATGCTTGATTAATTTTTTTAGATGTTTTAATATTAATTTTTTGTAAATATCATGTAATTCAGCCTTGGTCATGAATTTGATGTAATAATAATAATAGTTATAAATAAGGATTTATAGAGTGCATAATGCATAAAGCCTCTATTCGCTTGACCTTTTTTGTTTAGTTGATGTTTTGTTTGTTTGTTGTATGTTTTTTTTTATGTAAATAAAAGAAACTGAGTCTGAAATGATGGCATCACATCATGACCATATAATAGACACAAAATGACTATATACTGTATGGGCATACTACAGTTTTTGGTCAAAGAAAATTTAATGAACAGACAGAGCTTCATTGTAAAGGATTTGATTCATTCACAGAAACTTAAGTTTATCAAATCAAAATAAAAGAAATATATTTTAAATGCTTTTCATTTTTATTTTAGAGAAGGAAACAAAAAGTGTGGCACTATCATTCTGTCATGTGAAGAAATGAGTTCATGCAAGGTCAGTATTGTTAATGGTGGTGCCAGAAATTTTACAGTGAGTTAACCCCTCTGCCCACACTATTAAATGCCATTACAGTTAGTTAACCCCCCCTGTCCACACTATTAAATGCCATTACAGTGAGTTAACCCCTCTGCCCACACTATTAAATGCCATTACAGTGAGTTAACTTTTTCATTCTTCATGTGAAGAAATGAGTTCATGCAAGGTCAGTATTGTTAATGGTGGTGCCAGAAATTTTCCAAAAAGGGGTCTGACAAGTCTGACAGAGGGGTCGGAACCAATGGGCTGACTAGAGCCTCGGTCGACGGCCAGGAATAAAAAGTCGCTGGTAGGGTTCACATTTAGACCACAGTATTAGGGGGGTTAGCAATCAATATAACGTTTTGGATAAGCGAATTATTATTTTTGATCCGACAACTTAGTTGTGGCATCGGACGACAGGGGGTCCATTCCTGTCCCCCTCGCCGCTGGTGCCACCACTGAGTATTGTTGATTTTGATCAGACATGGCAATTAACATGGGTGTAGGGGGGTGCTGGTGATTATGACCATTAAGTTTTCATTAGAATAGGGATTTAGTTCTACATTCTGGGATTTAGTTCTCAAATTTTGCACCCTTCCCTCAGGCCGAAACCAGTTTGCACCCCTGCAATTAATGATAATAATAAGCCTGCTTATTAAGCTTATTGTTGTTTAAGATTGTTGTAATATTTTTTTTTTTTTTTTTTTTTTCAGGATTAATGATAATAATAAGCCTGCTTATTAAGCTTATTGTTGTTTAAGATTGTTGTAATATTTTTTTTTTTTTTTTTCTTTCAGGACAATGCTACTTTAAAGTTTCAGGGAAGAAAACTTGACAAAAAAGATTTTTTCGGAAAGTCAGATCCATATTTGGTTTTTTATCGATGCAATGAAGATGAAAGGTATTTAATAATACAAAAGAATATGGAGTCAAGTAATTATAGAATTAAGAAACTTCTTTATTATCATTACTATTATGATTTGACTCACTTTTTTAGATTTTTTACTATTTTAACAAACTCCTGTAGCTCATACAAGTTAGAGTAGCAGAATCAAGCAGGATGGTAGTATGCTTTAAATATTTTTTTCTTATCATTGTAACTATCATCATTAGTGGCTGAGGCCATCGACACTGCCACAGTGTGAAAAAAGCTGCTGTTCTTTCTATCGCAACTGCCACAGTGCAAAAAAAATTTGCTGTTTTCTATCAGCACAGCAGCAGTGCAAAAAAGCTGCTGTTTTCTCCAAAAACTGCAGTTTTCTATTGTCAAAGCAAATGCACCCTAGCCCCTTAAAGTGTTAACAACTTGTACAGTATATTTATTTATTTATTTATTCTGTCTTTCTACTGCATGCACTTTCAGTACTTGTGTACTGTTTTTCAAAGTGGTACAGTTTCATAAAATACAAAAGTTAAAAGAAAAGTAATTAAAAAACATATATA